CTGAAAATGGCTAAAATTATATTTTGTTATAGTTACAAATAACCAGAATAGAAAACCTGTAAAAATAGCAAGAAACTTAATACACAGTAAAAATGTATTTAAATATAGCCATATTATTAATAGTGTAACCTGTTTTTTGATTTTTGAGTTTCTGTATTTACTCATAAAAGAAAGTGACTACATTCTTATAAATGAAAGGAGATCAAAGAAATCAAATGCTTTTGTAACAGGGTGGTCCCTAGAAAAAAGGGGAGTTCCAGGTTCCCTGCCCCACCCAGAAGGAGGTTGGAGCTGAGCAGAGAAAAAGGAGAGAGAAGAGGAGAATGAAGCAGGATGGAGAAGGAGGAGACCTGAGGAAGCCACATGGAGCAGCAAGCATGTGATGAAGAAACCGGGCTTGTTTCCTGACCCTGGACTGGCTAAGGCAGATGTGGGTGAGATACCTGTAGGGAGGTGACTATGGCAGTGTTTATATTGATTTTGATTTTGCTCTTTTCCTCCCAGATTTGTCTGGCCATTTCTGACCCTTTTCCATGGGTCCCGGCCAGAAGGTGCTTTAGTCTTGTGGCAGCTTTCAGGTCTTGCTTTGGGCCAATCCCTTTTGGGTTGACTTTCGCCCACGAGGGGATGGGTAACTTCAGGTGTTTGATTTAGAAGTTATATTCTTTGTGTTCCGTATTGTATATTTACTGTATTAAAGTCCCTTTTCATTAAAGTTTTATATGTTTTGTCTTGTTAACAGCGGGTGGCAGAACCCACTTAGAGCAGGCAGGTTTTGGGGCTTTAGGAGTGCCCCTCTCCCCCTGTTCTGGAACAGATTTGCTGTCCTATAACACGTTTAGAAGTGTAACCACAACTGGGGAAATGCTCTCCTGTACTCTAAATCATATTTACTTAATGTGCCTGAATCAGAATTGTGTATAAGTCAGCAATGCATTGAAAACAATTTAGGATACATTTGGGGTTCACATTTGGGGTAATTGCTGACTACAGAGGTGGGAGGGAGGGCTGCCTGTACCAGTTGCTCTGAGCACGTGTTGATAGAGATGAGCCCCCTTCCCCCTTCCACCCCGTCCCCCATGGGCAGCCAGGTGCAGTATAACTCGTATTCATGCTGAGAATCTGCCTTCCCAGGAGGTGGGTGTAGGATAATGAATTGCTCGTGTTTTTTTTGCGCCTCTGTGGCTACCCCCGAGGCCTTGATGGTGCTAATGTTGGCAGGGTTTCGGCGCGTGGGCCCACTTACGCATGCCTGATGGTGGACACGTGGAGTGTGGCATGGGCACGCAGAAGCCGGCGCACCTGAGCCTGGCGGCCGGGTATATAAGGGCGGTGTCACGCAGACGGTGGCTGAGAGGGAGACGGCTGCGGGGCGGTGCGTAGCGTGACTGTAGAAGAAGCGAGACCCCAGAGGACACCAGAGCCCAGAAAAAGAGTAAAGTTTCTTGGGGGCTGGGAGACTTGGTTGCCTGCTTGCCTCGCCCCACTGCCTCTCCAGCCTGCGGACTTACCCACAACCGTGGGCTATCGGAGAAATTAGAAAAGTGAAAACTAGAAAATGTTCTGGAGGAAAATGATGCGATGGTGAAAGGCTCTGGAAACTGGATGGTGAGAAAAGCCGAAGCCTGGAGACACTGGAGGAAAGGGGCATATGGGAACTGGTCATTGGAAAGGGCACCTGGAAACCACCTATAGATGGCAGTGGAACCAGGGGTGGAGGGGGCAACCCACAGAGAGGCACTTCTCTGTTCATTCCAACAAGACAATGAGTCTGGAGGCTGAGATTCCAAGAGAGCGCAGATGCATCCAGGGGATGTTAGTGTGTTCCTGTGCTGGGGCTAACCTCTGAGCCCCAACAAAGGACAGCTATTGGAAGGAAGGCTGGACCACCCTGACCGGAGCCCTGACTTCCTTGCTTGGAGCAGCAGATTAGTGGCACAGGCACCAGCAGCTGCAGCTTATCTCTGAGGACTCCACAGGTGCAGGCGATGGGACTCGTCCAGGACCACAGGTGAGTGTGTCGGAGCCTGATAGGCGGTGGTCTCCCCACGTCTAGCGGCAACATCTCACTTCACACTAGGCCTGCTGAGTTATGTATGTTTTCTGATCCCTTTTTGTCACGTGCCTCATTTAAGTAATTTACGACTCGACATACTGAATTATAGCTATTTGTTTCCCATCCCTCGTTGCAAGTGAAAGAAACACAGGCTTCATTAATTCCAGTGCTTATCTCGGAACAAGGTACTAACAAGACTTTAGATGGTGCTCCAGCCATTTAGTTTTTGAGAAGGTGAAAGGGTCTCTCCTCCATATGGTCTAGATTCTTGAACTGTTTCATCTCAAACACTAAGGTTGACAGATCTGCTAAGACCAAATGGGGTGTTAGTTACTATCCAATTACTCTTGTAAGAGTCACAGCCCATTTAACTGAGCAAGCACCATCTCTGCCTCCACCCACAGGCAGTTAGGCCATCCACACACTCTGGGCCACCTGGCCTCGCGATATTCTCATAGCAGTGTGAAGCCACAGCCTCTGCCTCTGAGGGCAGGTTTTCAGCTTAAATTCCCCACTTCTATTACTGAAACACCGATGAACCTTGGGTTATGAATAATATAGAAATGAGAAAAGGATATTGACGTTTCTACTCCCCGATTACTTGAAAGCAGCAGCTGACTGAACAGTCATCTCTGGGCTGGATTCTTCTTTCACTTGTACTTGGTAAGGGACTAAGCAGAGAAGCCTCACACAGGACTCTAGCTGTGCCTTGGGGGTCCATCACCCCAACAACTCCTCGCTCTCTTTAACTTGGATTATGGAATATAGATGGCACACACACACACACACACACACACACATCCGCTGACACTGCCCACTTGCACTGATTGGCTAGCCAGACTGGCAAGGAGAACAGGAGCTGGGTCGGGGGCTCCAGCTGTGTGAACACAGCCTCTTCCAAGGGCTGGCACCTGCTATGAAAGACCATGGGCCAGTGCTGTGAAATTCACTCACCAGGATTTCTCAAAGAACTGCCATGAACACGATTCTAAGAAAGTAAAATGTAAGACTTAAAAAAAAAAATATTCCTTAAAGATATTCAGCATTCTAAATCCAAGAGCAGCAACAGGAGCATCTGGCTAAAGGTGAAGTGTGTAAGAAGTAACCAGAAGCATCTTTGTTAAATTTGTCAGGGCATGATTAATCTGATGGTAACAAATGTCCAGGAGCACCTTAAGAATATGCAGGAGATAAACTCAGAAGTACACAGTTTAAAATTCAGACGAATATAACAAAGAATGTGAGGGGTCAGTTCTTTGTAAGTCTAGGAGGTGCTAAGGTGTAAACAACTGAGTTCTGAAACTCCGTGAACTAGATTGTGTGTGTGTGTATGTGTGTGTAAACCCTTGCTTCATCAAGACAAGTTTTTATTTTTTAAGAAATTACAGAAAAAAACAATAAGAGAATTTTAATAAAATCAACAAGTTTACATTTGTACATCTTGGGTATCTGGGACACAACCAGAGGCAAAGGATAAAGTTGCAAAGACAAAGATTTCCATAGGGGAGCAGGCAAGAAGCAAGGATTATTACCCTAATGGTGTGACAAGCATCAACTTGTAGGGGTGACCAGTCACCCCAGCTTCCCTGCATATTTACCAAATTCATTGGCATGAGCTTTCCAGTTCTGAGCACAGGTCCAATGTCCCACAGCCTATATGACATTCTGAATAATTGACAGGCAACAGCAGATAGACAGTATTTGCCCCGCGAATATTAATGTTAGCTGAGTTTATTTCATGCTGTTTTAACTAGAATGGTTATACTGAACCTAACAAGGGAAAAATGGGCCAAGTCACGATTCTAACTACTCTCTTCCACATTAGAATCACACACAGCAGGTCTTTAGAAAGAGACATATATGTATTTCTTTAAAAATGATTTGAGAAAGGATCTTGTAGGAATTAGAGAAAGATACAGTTTGAACCTAGACAATTCTACTCAATGTCAACGAATTCTGCCTTGTTAGAGGATTTAGAAGAGATGGAAAACTGTTCAACTTTAATTCCCATTTTAAAGGATAACAAATATTTCAAAATATTGGTCAATACTCAGAGGGAAAAAGACAAGTGTCCCCAAGTTATGAGTGAGCAATCAGAAGTCTTTTTCAAGATTGTACCCATTTTGCATACAAAGAAACAGTGCTTTTAAAAATGCAGTAAGTACTGGTACCTTGTCCTTTGAGGAACAAATGCCAAATTCAGTGGCTCTGTAAATAATCATCCCCTTATAGGCATCCACAGGAACAACTCATGAAACAGGCTTTGGAGTCAGACCAATTTACAGAGTAGACAGTGGCTTCCAAGGAAAATTTCTTCACCATTTATTCTTTAGGTAATTGAGACATAATTAGGAAAGAACGTATGGATATCTTTGCTTTTCTGGCCCACTTAGAACCACAAAAGGAAGAGGCATACTGACCATTATAAGTACAGGAAGAGTTTAAAGGACAGAAAATGGGCTCCCACGTCCCCTCTCCATCAGTAACGCGTGGACTGATGGACAGGGCGTGAGTATCCACGGTGCCCACTTGTTACATGGGGAAGCAGACGCTTGCTTGGCAAGTGTTACGGCAGAGGGTACAGTGTGTTTCTTGTTAGTTCCGAACGGGATCGTTAGTCACTATGAAGAAATTCAAAGAGGGCAGTGAAGTAACAACAGGTTCAGCTTCTCTGCGATGTTAGAAACAGATGGATTTTCCAGATGGGGATGCACAAGAGGCGTTAGTCTGTATTTTCAGGAAACCTCAGAGCAGGCCTGTAAAGTGCTGGGAGGTAAGGCAGCCTGACTGAACTTCCCAGAAGGGTGCGTGGAAGCACTGCCAGGAAGGATCTGTCCTGTGCAAAGGCAGCTGACCCCAACGCCTGCCCTGCTCGGCAGAGGAGGCAAACCTGCCTTGTCTGCAAATATGCGTGGTTTGTGCTCATAATGTTTCCCTTTCATTTCCCAAGTATTCAACAGGAGATACATTTTAACAAGAAAAATGTCCCCAATGAATATGACAGATGAATTTCCAATCAAGAGAAAAACTACAAACATGATATATTTCAAATAAAAATGTTTAGTCAAACAGGTCAACTGTAGAGTTTCAAATCAGCAGAGGAGGCAACAGGAAAAGGACACTCAGCTGGGCACTGGCCTGCTACGGTGCTCCTGTCTGCTGACGGGGCAGCTGCGGCTCTCCTCCTGCAGCTTTACCGGTTTCTGAGAGGTCTTCACTAGTTGGGTCCCAGAAGCAGACAAATTTACCCAAAGGGAGAGCTTGGGTAAACAAGACAGATGTCTTTCAGGGAGAGCCAAACAGGAAGTAGGAAGAAATAAAAATATTTCCCTAAAGTCAGCCATTTCCAAGGGCAAAGGCAGAGGCCACATGGTAACCCCAGGAAATGGAAGCCCCCCCCCCCTCCACCCTGGGGGGCCAAGCCACAAGGAGGGAGAACGCACCCATGGGAAGGAAAGGTGCACCAGGTGAAACCAGCCACTGCATGGCTCTGTGCCCTGGCTGCGCCACCACTGAGAGGGTTCCCCTCTGTGCCACCCTGAAGCAATGTTTCCAGTGCAAATATGTATTTAAAGATCAGGGTATGGGGTGGGGGAGGGGGAGTCCAGCTTGTCTGGACTGCATGGGAAAGGCTCATTTTGCTTTCCAAGTAGACGTCTGTTTTGTATTACCAGGTACCAAGCAGGCAAACTCTCACACGTCTCTCTCTCGGGCATCCACAGCGAGAGTCCCTGTTTCACATTGACTGAAGTCTCCTCAGACCCAGAAGCTATCCCTTTGTCTCGGTTGACACAAGTGTTGTGGCCTTCTGCTCTCTGCGTCCAGCAGGCTTGGTGAAGATCTCAGGGGCCCCCCGCACCCTCAGGATGGCCTCTTCAAGTCCTAGTACAGGGGCTGGGTGAGCTGGGGTTTGTGTGTCTGCCGGCAGCACAGTGGGTGTGGACGAGACCCCCATTTGGATATCTAACAAACACGGGCTCACAAAAGGGATTTTGGCACATCTGGCAACACTTTTTGTCTGAGAGCCGAACTGAACTTTCTTTCAGCTTCATCTGCAAAAAGAAAGAGAGATTGAAAATTCTGGCCCATACAGTGTTAAAAATACAAAGCCCCAAATGGCTTGTGCAATGTGCCCCAAGACGTAACACCTAACCTAACTGCAGTTTCAGCCTCCCTGGAATGTACTCTCAAAGGGTTGGTATGGAGTTTTCTGGTCAGAACCAATGAGGTGTTTCTCATTCCCCAGAGGAAAATGAGATAATCTGTCACAAAACCTTTATTCATTCCCCACAGACAGACCACCTGGGCCTAAACCTCTTGCTTTTTTCTATCTAAACAAACCTCCACTTTGAACAATACTTCTCTACCTGCTAGACACTGCCCAATTCATGAATCTCTTCCAATGAGGCCTTTAAAACTTAACTTGGTGGGTTTGCTATTTAACAACAGTTATTCCAATTTTAGGAGGTGGCACACATTACCTCATACATCATTATTACTGATAAGGATTGCTTTAAATATCAATTTCTTACGCAAAATAGTAAGGTAAAGTACTGTTACCTTAGTAATCCTTTAGTAGCTAGAGAAACGAAAGAGGTTACAAAGCTTTTTTCTTATTTTGCAAAATTGCAACTTGCCTGGCCAAAGCATTTCTATCCATATTCATTCTCAAAAGTTCACTCAACTCTGTACATTTAAGGATAGTCCTATTATAAAGCCCAGTAATGGCAGAGCTGAATTTATCTGATTCCCTGGTCCTCTCATTTGCAAACCAGAACAAGGCACAAATCAGTGACTTAGTCAAAACCACATAGTTGATGAATGGCACATTCCTGACTGGTACTGGGAAATGTTTCATTTCTTTAAAGGTAATGAATGAACTAAGCTGTGACTCCATTTTCCCTGTCTTGTAGGATGTAAGCTTTGCAAGTGAAGTTACTCTGCAATTCTCACTCATGTCTATCAGTCAAGCTAGTCTGTTGGCAGGCTCGAGTAGAAACTTAGTGCATGTATTCATTGGCTTCATCCATCATGCAACAAATATTACTTACCTTCGGGAAGCCAGCCTGGGCTCTACACATACTGGAAAATGAAGTTTTTTGCCCTCAAAGAACCCAAAGTCCACAAATAAAGGGAAATGGTTACAAATGCAAGCCCGAGGCAGATGGGTGGACAGCAGAGGGGATATACCTGCTTAAAGGTTTCACAAGAGAAATGCTCAGGCTGGGAAATGAGTAGGTTTCCCTGGTATAAAGGTATAGCTAGTGCAGGCTGAGGGAATGGTCAGCACAAAGGCAGGGAGGTCTGGAACAGCCTGTCGTGTCCAGGAGGAGCACGTGTTTGGCGCTGGTGGCAGTTCGGCAGGGAGAAGTCCAAGGCTGATGCCTCGGGGAATCCACGCAGCTTCTCAATGGAACTCTGCTGTGGACGTCACGCTACCAATTGCAGGAATATGACCATCACAAGAGAGCTGTCTCAGAGGGGCGTAAGCTTGGGGACCATCATGAACTGAATGTTTGTGTCATTCCCCAAATCCCTAGGTTGAAGCCCTAACTCTCAGTGCTTGGAGGTGGCGCCTCTGGAATGCAATCAGGTTGAGCTTAGGTCATGAGGGTGGGCTCCCACGGGAGGGTTAGCATCAGTAGAGGAGGAAGAGAGAATAGCGCTCACTCTCCCTGCAGGGAGAAGGGGGCTGTCTGCATGCCAGGCACCCGATCTGCGGGCATACTAACCTTGAAGTTCTGACTTCAGAACTGTAGAAATCAGTGTCTGTGGTTTAAAGTGACTCAGTCAGTGGCATTCGTAATAGCAGCCAGTGCTGACTGATATAGGAACCAAGACCTGGAGATTGGAAATGGCCTGGGAATTCAGAGTCAGGCTTCTGCGTTTACTAACTCTGCAGTTTCTCAGTAACTCAGTTTTCTGTTCTGTGACATGAGGTAATATAGATACTGCACAACACTGTTGTGGAGATGAAATATGCTGTTGGTGTAGAACAATGTCTAAAACACTAGGAAGTTTCTGGAAGTGGAACACAGTGTTGGCTTTTCCCACACCATCTCTTGAGCATTAGTGTCTCTTTAAAAGGGAAAGAAAATTACACCCATGTTACACGTACCAGCCCAGCTTCTGCTTCTGCTCTGTGTAGCTCATAGTTTCTATGTGAAAAGAATCATATGTTCTAAGTTATAAAACGGGCAGACTAATTATCCAGAGGCAAAATCTACCTTAACCAAAAAGTTGCAAGAAGTTAGTTTGCCTGGAAGGGCTGGGTGCTCACCTTATCATACTTGTAGATTAAATTTTCAGACTTGGCCAGGCCAAGAGCCACCTGAGTGGTCCTCCTGGTGTGGATACTGTCCCGCATGGCCCCCGTCAGGAACGGGCAGAGGAGCTGCACTGACCAGGTGCCCGGCAGCAGCTGTAGGACTTGAGCTGTGTCAAATTCGGTGGCATGGTGGTTCAGGAGGTCCACAGCGGCCACGGTCAGCTCATGCGCAGAGGGGCCAGCGCTGAGGTACAGGGCCAGCAGTGTGTGGAAGAGCTGCTGCCGGTAGGGCAGGTCTCTGCCCTCAGAGCGCCACAGGCAGTAGTCCTCGGCCGCCGAGAAGTCCCCCAGTTCGTGCACCAGAATGCGCAGGGCTTCCTCGTGCTTCTCCAACTTCCCATGCAGGATGGCGCTCTCCATGGGCAGGTTGGCACCCTCGATCCTCTCTGGAGGCAGAGTACACCAGTGAGAAACAGCAGGCCCGAATGCGCTCAGGGTGGCATCCACCACAGGGATTGCTTCACCAGTGCTTTTAACTTAAAAGCTGGCTACCGAGACATTGCTACATGCTGTGATTTAGTGATAAAGGCATTCTTGTGTTTCTTTTCTTCTTAGACTGATTTATGCATAGGAGTACTGGGGTGTAGGCCAGAGGTGTGGGAGGTGAGAGGATTCACCAGAGGCAGTGTGGGAAGCAGAGCAGGCAGATGGACTGAAATACACTGCTGAGGGGAGCAGAAGAGGTCTGCTGCACCCTGTGGGTCAGCTCCCTGGCTGGGATCAACTCTGGCTTTGTGGCTGGCAGAAGCTTGATAGTGCTCTGTCTTTAACCCCTGAGCAACTTTCTTTACTTTTATGTTTTAAATGTATATGGAAAACAGAAGACAGACTGTTTGTGAGTACAGCCAGATCTCAGACTACAGCTTTAACAATGCTGAGAGAATGAAAAAAAAAACACCACCAAATGACCCATGATCTCATAGGTTCCCATGAAGCTGTGAGGAACAGTTCCAGGCTTACAATGAATTATTCCTTAGTCCTGTTTTCCTGTTATGTTATCTTCCTATAAAAGCTGAAGGGCACTACATTGTCTTAAATGCAGGCAATTAATACTTCCTCCTCCCAAAAGTGCTGAGTCCCTTTAATCTGATTTCAAAATACTCTGTATTGAAAGGAATATTAATTCATATTGTTAAAACCCCTATTTTCTTTTGCTTCTCCTGCAATTTAAGTCCCCAGGTCAAAAGTAACTTGGAAAGGAAGCCTGAGTTCATGCCAAGGCCATGTCCTCATAGGACAAGGACAGTGGTGAAGTCCCTTTGCCTCCTGCTTCCTCTGTATACTTTACAGAAGAAGATAAGATTTCTTTTTCTGAGAAGGCTTTTTCTGAGAAGGCTTTATTCTGATAATCCTACCTATTTCAGGGGCCAAGATTAATAGCACAAATTATAGATAATTGCATGTGAACTCTGGCCACACTTAGGCCTGATGGACAAGGCAGATTGATCACTAATCCTTGGCAAAGGCCTTACAATATATCACTGGTATTATGAGGTTCAGAGGATGCAACACACATCACTACCATCCTCAAGAAATGTGAGCAAAGCATTTCTAAGTGGCTACATACTCAAGGCACAAGGAGAGCTGCAAAGACAGTTAAGTAAAGGTCACTGCAGCGATTCTACTCTTCACATGTCACCTTGTTTACTTCTGGTTCTCACAGGCAACCCCCAGGCGAGGCTTTGTAGGAAACCTATTGCAATGAACCAAACTGACACACCCCAGGTCACCTAACAGGTACAGAGCTCAGAGTTCTGGTGCTCTTCCACAGTGCCGTGAGGGACACCCATCCCCTGGAATTCCCCAGCCTTATCTGCCAGCTAGACTCATCCTTTCTGTTCATTTACACAGCCCCGCCTCTGGAAGGCTGTCCCCACTTCACCTGCCCCCAAGGCAGGGCTCAGGGCTCCCCATGCTCCAGAAAACAGCTGAAAGAAAACACTGCTTGACAAACTCATGACCTGCCCAGGGCTTTCATATGGGGGTCTGTGGTGCATCAAGTATGACCTAAGTCAGGGCTGGCAGTGACAGTGTTTCTCAACTGGTGTGGCACAGGCACCAACCCACCGCAGTGGCAGCAAGCCGCGGTGCAGCTGTGCTTAGCCAAGCAAGCACAGAGCTTCCGCCAGTACTTGCTGGCAGGTGGACAGCAGCCCCAGTTCTGCCGTCTATACTACTAGTGAGCTCTATGGCTGGGGGCAAGGTGGGCAGCCTCTAAGCTGCCACCTACCTGCCTGTAAAAAATGAGGAGAATAACAGGGTTTACTTCATAGTGTTGTGGTGGAAAATACTCATAATGCACACCAAGCCTTTTAACCTATGTCCGGCATATTTGGTTGATACTCATCATTCAGATGCCATATTTGCAAATTCATCTACTCGCTAATATTTATTTGTGACACCCAACAGCATTTGTGCTGCACAGGAGGTTGTTTGTGGGGATGCAGAGTGGCAAAGTACCAGTACTTGCTGGCAGGTGGACAGCAGCCCCAGTGGCCTGGTACACATCCCTAGCGGGGGTCAAACAAAGCAAGGCCCCACCTGTCTGTGGCAGCTCTCAGGTTGAAAAGAAGGGTCCTTCGCAAGAAATAATGCTATGCTTTTTGCATTTTTATTGAATTCATCATTAAAATGTGCCTAATGCTGTCTAGTGTTTCTAAGCACAAGAAGGCTGTGATGTGCCTTATGGAGAAAACTCAGGCTCTGTTCTGGCCTGATTTATAGTGTTGTTGGTGTGAATTCAACATGATCCATCAATAGTACACAGTAAATAAGGTTCCTTCAAACAGAAACACTTAGTGAACAGGATAAACAGGATATATTGATTGCTTGATGAAAATATGATAACAGGTTTGCCGGAACCTTGCCCGGTTTTTCTCTATAGGTGGAATGACTGCATATCTGGTGCTCACAGAGACTTGGGAGACCATAACTACTGAGCATGATGAGAACTGACAGCAGTTAGTGGTCAGAAAATACAGTAAAATGCTGTAAAGAGAAATACGGTATTAACCCTATGAAGAGCAGCTCTACTGTCAGTTCTGCACGTGCAAGCATGCGCTGCCCTGGGCTGTTTTATACTGTATTGAAATGGAACTCTGGTCTTTGCACCGCCTCGACTACCCTGGTTTTCCGGGGCTCAGGCTGAGCTGTCCTGGAGATGCTGCAGGGCAGTGCCAAGGGCGTCACCCTGGTAAGAGAAGGAAGAACTCTGATTTGAGTTCTGGAAGCCACATAAGGATGTTTAAGTGAAGAGATGCCCCTTGCTCGCCACAGATAGAGATAGAGACTTCCAATCCCACTAGGGCAGCTTTTGAGCTATCCGTGAGAGAGCCAATGTCTGTCTCTAGGGCATAGAGGCATGACAAGTTGCGCCCCACCCTCCAGGAAGGCTGACTGCACCAGCAGGCTTAGGGACTGAGTGGGTGGGCACAAATTGGGGAGCTGTGCTGAACCGCCACCTCTGCTTCCCCTTCCCTGCGGGGAAGTGACCCTCAGAGAGAGGACTAAGAGCCTCCTCACCTAGCAGAAAGTGGACTCGGTACAAATCGGATTTCTGGAGCAGGCGTCGGAGCTTCACCTGCATCTCGGTGACTTCTGTCTCTTTGCTGCTGGCACCTGCAGGTCGCTGCTGTAGCACCTGGTCCAGGTAGAGGATAGCAAGGTGCGTGTGGTATTCTTCCTTCTGTGGGAGACAGAGCCAAGCAGTGTTTGCAAGCAGGAAACCTGGAGGGCCTGTCAGGAGCAAAAAGTCCCAGACTAAACCCACAGAGGTGAGCAGGGTGGCTCTCAAGGACAATTAACAGGGCATATCAATTGGATTGAAAACTTCTCAGGAGCCACAATTATAGAGAAGGGAAATTTATAAGCAATGGGGAAAGTATAAAAGGGTTGCTTTGCATTTTAACAAGGAAAAGCTACAGAATTTAATTATCTCCAGAAAGGTATAGCTTCTCTCATTGCCTTTAAGGATAATAATAAAGAAGGAAAAGAGAAGAAAAATATAAGCTGAACAAGCATGAGGTGGAGGTTAAAACAATGAACTTCTCCACTATCTTCCAGAAATCTCCATTCCCCATCAGACCATCCAGTCCAGCCTGAGCACGACCCTTGTGGTAGCACCGGCTGCCAGCCTCCTTTATAGTTCAATTCCACACATGCAGTCCTCACCATGCCATGGCAGCCCACATGCTTTAGTCTAATTGCTCACCTGCAGCCTCTGGTCAACAACTAGATATTCCAGATATTTAACAAGTGCTTTGGGGTATTTCTTAAGGCAAGTGATAATATCGTTGGGATTAAAACTACTCTTCTGTTCATCCAAAGGTCTCTTGGTGAAAACTTTCACTCCAACCTGAAAGATAAGTAGTAATTTCATTATTATGCTTTCCAAAGTCACCATCTTACCTTTTTTTCTTAGCATTGCACATTCATACTTCGGGAAAAATCATTGTCAAGAACACAGTGATATAGAAAAACAATGCAGCGTGAAGAATTAATAAGACCAGAAAGCATGACGCAAAGATAGGAACGATGGCTAAAAGCTAAAACCCACTGCCTACATTCAGGTGACTTTTCTTTTAAAAGGGTCAGAAATTAAACGAGGAAGCTAGGGATGGTGGGTGCGCATGGTGGGCACACTGACAAGGGCAATGAGTTGCCTGGTACAGCCGGGTGCTGGCAACACTCCTGCAGAACAACATTCTGCAAGAGGGGCAGCTCACAGAAAGGAAACTGCCCGAGGTGATTAAGATTGGGAATTTGCCATACTCAAGGATGACTCTATTGTATAGAAATGACTTGACTGAGCATTAAAGCTTTTGATATCTGGAGGCTAAGAATGTGACCTGATTAGTGCCTTTTGTTTTTTGCACAAAAGTGGTGCAATGCTAGACAGTGTGTCTCAGAAGCACTGAAATACAGAACTTCTCTAAGAGCTGGGACTTGGGTGGCTCCAGGAAAGTTGTTAAAAAGGAAACAGAAAAGTATCTGACCCCCATCCTGTTTTCCCCACTAAACTCAATTCTCAGCTTTTACCGCCTCTTCCTCGTCCTTCCCAAAAGAATGCATTTAGAAAGCACAAACCTCCTCACTTTTCTGCAAGACCCAATCAGCGTACTTCCACACTAGTTCTTGGTCTAAGCTGTAGGTGAGGAAATCGACAACATATTCGTACAGGTCTGAGCGAGTGGGGTCGTGCACATCCCCATTCACAATGTTCACCCACAACTGAAAAGGAACAAGAATAAAAAGGGAAGGTTATACTTTGTCGAATTAGCTTAGAGAAAGCATTTATTTGCTAGTCCTTTAAACAAACCAAGCCCCCCCAAACCACAGGTTCTACACCAGAGGATTTAACCAACCATGGATGGGAAATGTGTAGTTGTGGTCAGGTCTACGATGCATGGGATGGTGTCTGCACAACGTGTACGGACCTTTTTTCTCTTGCCAAATTTACAAAACAATACAGCGTAACAACTTTTCATGTAGCCTTTAAACTGTACTAGACATTATAAGTAATGTAGAGATGATTTAAAGTACACAGGATGTGTGGGGGTGATACACGATGATGACTCCATTGTGTAGAAAGGACCTGAGCATTACAGCTTTTGATATGTGGAAGGAGTTCTCAAACCTATAGCCTGTGGATAACGAGGGATGTCTGTACTTAAGAGTAGTAGGGAAACTATTAAATTCTTACATCAATTCTAATTCTTTCAGAGATATAAGAAATGTAGATGACATGGCCCAGCAAATCAAGAAAGTAAAGCACCAAGTTCTTTTTCTTTCCTTTTTAACGATATCAGAGTAGAACAATTAGTAAACATAATATATGGGAAGAGTAGCTATATTAAAAAATGTTTTTTTCAAGAACTAAGCAAAACGATCACAGAAAAAAATTCACCAGCATCCGTCAGCTAGGCTATTTCCATCTTCTCCATCACAGGGATTCTTGATTCTGAATCATATACTACACTTTCAAAACTCTGGTGATTCTGTCCCCTCCTGTTACGTGTTTTGCACAGGAGATTGTGACAGACTCTAGTAATAAAAGTCCTTTGCTATTTCATCCAGAAACCTCCCTGCTCTGTAAAGGTTTCATCCAGAAACCTCCCTGCTGTGTAAAGGGAAACCAAATTTTAGGACAGCAGAGCGAGGCAGCACCCGGTGGAGGTAGGAGAGATGGAGACCGCCTGCAGCTCGCTGGGCATCACTGCGGGCAGGCGCTCACCACCTGTCCAGAGCTCTGCCCTCTTGAAGCGCGCTGCCAGCAGGAGGCTCGCGGAACATGCAGGCAGTGTAAACTCCAATTCCCACATCAGCATTTGAACTTTTTTTATGTAACTAGTTATTTCAACACTGACTTCTCCAACCACAGAACGTGATCACACAAAGGCTGAAATGTGTCATTTAACTAAGTGCAACTTGCCATATATGGAGAATAATTCCATATTATTTCAATTTTGGTACTCTTTCTCACTATCTCTGCTAGTGTTCCTATTACACTTATATCAAGGTATAATTCTTTGAATGCTATGTTGTTGGGTTTGTTTTTTTTTTAATCTAGTTATTGGGTACATGTTAGTGGGAACTCAGTTTTGTTTTAATTCTCTTGCAACCCTGTTACCATGACAGTTTCTCAAAACAACCAAGTGCCATGTGTGGCTTTGCCAAAGCCACAAAGTTGACTGTGAGCCCTGCTGATGTCCCGACATTCACAAAACACATTAAAGAAAAGCACAGGAAACTCTGACACAAAGCAATACCAGTGGATAAGAGGAGCAGAAGGGGACAAAGTCTCACACCAAGTGTGAGAGAGCTCAGTCATAAGATGAAGATGCCATGTAAGAGAGCAGCTAAAACACACCACTGCAAGTGCGGCCCCATGCTCCTGCCAGGGCCGCCTGGACCCCAGGTTCAAAGCCAGCCCTGACTAGGAGCATGCATACCCCCAGGCAAGCAGTGGCCCTGATTAGCTTGTCCTCACAGATGACAAGGGTGGTAATTTACCTCAGTCATTGGCAAGACAATGTTACAATAGTAGGAAGTACGATTTCTTATTCACAGTTTTGATCTTTCGATAAGGCAGAGGTGGCAGATACTCTGTGGCTCAGTAAGACATGTTTATATTTCTTAAACTTTCAAAAACTCAATTTTGATAATATTCTTTAGAAAGAGGTAAAGGCAAAGAAAACTGTTGGTCAATAATACTCAAGGAATGCTCTCCAAACCAGTAATAGTTGTGTTCTGTAAGAAAGGTGTAGATCAGGCCAAAGTGGGCTCTGTTGATTTTGTGATTTCTTTTTCAAGTCATACTAAGCTACATGGTGCTGATTTTTAAATAATGCTAAAATGCTTTAGAACTAACCTGAACTGCCGCAGCGTCTTGGTTATTATAATGATAGAGCAGTCCAAGTGCAAAATACCTGAAAGAAAACAGCGTGGTAAGTGCACCCTCTCCCACCATCTACTGTGGGTGGCACCCCCATAGTGACCTCCCCTGGCCTTGCCCCCCCATCCTATTAATGGTGTAAAATGTATGTCCTGTCAGTTAAAAAAAAAAAAAAAAAGATCATATTGAAGACAAAGATAAGCTGAAAATACAACTGTAATTACACTATGGAAAGTCACTTTTGGAATTGCTTTGCAGTTTGCTTCAAATATTAATAGAATTTCTTATCTCCTCAGCTAGCCTTTATTGAGCCATGATGAGCTATTAGGGAGTAGTCAGAGGAATGCTGTCTGAGCAAATACTGAAAGAGGAAAGGGGCTAAACACAAACAACACTGAAGGCCAACAGTAGCCAGGCACCCCAGAGGACAGCAGTCAGTGAGAGGCCTGGGTGGGGCACACAGAGTTCAAGGTCCTGAGTTTCACTACACGAGGGCTGTAGAAGTGTGAACAAGTAGATCCTCTTCTCAGCCTTCCATTTCTTCGCTGACAGGAAGGAAGGATTAGCAAAGTCACGGCCATGGCCTGGCAGTGAGTCAATGCCACCTGGCAGGCAGCTTCCTCCCAAGGCAGTGACTGCAACAAGCTGACCCGTGCAGGGTTCAAGTTCCTTCCCTTAAAGAACAAACTCTAAGATTTCCTGGAAGCCCACTCTTCCCCTTAATCTTTCAAAAAGGTACACTGACTTTCCAGACCCTACCATCCCATGAGACCTCTATGCATTCTCTAGCTCCTAAATAAAATAACTCTATTCCCAAGGACATTCTAGAAATGAGAAAACACCTTTCTGGTGGTCAATCCCAAGACTGCATTGTCTCAGGCACCTGACAGGGAACTAGCAGCATCACCTTGAAGTCTCTGTGGGATCTCCTCAGTAACATTTTGCCATTTCAAATATGGGAAAAAACCACAGGCTAAGAATCTTACTGCCTAGTGGAGTTTAGGGATCACCCAACTCCTATCACTTAACAACAAACCCAAAAATCCTAAGGACAGATGGTCCGGGAAACTTGACCCCCTGTCCAGGATGAAGAAGCTGTGGGCTCTTATTTGTATCAGGCTGGACTCTCTGGATCAACTACTTCTGTGCACAGGCACTGCCCACCAGCTCACACACAGAACAAAACAGTCTTAAGCCATCATCTTTTCTCAACAAGACCAACAAGCCTCCCTTATTAACTCTATCCATTTTCATCATGATTTTACCAACATACCAGTATGGTATCTTACAAGGAGCATCCTAGATGGAATTCAGAGGATATATAAGAACACTTTCTTCACTACCAAGGCCTATGATAGCTTTAAACTGTCATCTCTGTCATAACGAATTGGTATGAAAGTCAATACTCCCCAAGACACTTGCCATGGTCTGCAGGCCATGCTGAGTGCTATAACCTGATGGGCTGCCCCTTGAGTAAGCCCTTGGGAACTCAAATCATCACAGTGGTGACATCGGATTCGCAACTGTCTCCTTACAGGGTGGTGGACAAGGGCCAGGCCTGAAGCCCCTGGTTGCTCCCGGAAGAGAACACTCACTTTTTGTGCTTCTCCAGCCAGGCAGCACTGTCTGTTAGCAGACAGAAGTTCTCTGTGACCAGTAGGTCCAGCAGGCTATCGTGGTCAGCCTCCGCGTACAGTTTGAGCAAGGCTGTGTCAATGTCTTCTTTGTAGCCATTGGCTACCTCTGTGCTGCGGACTTCATTCAAGTAGCTCATGAGGAAACGCTTACACTTGGCCATCTTCTCCTGGTCTCCTTGGGTCAGCTGGTTCAGGTCTGCATACTCGTGGAGAGGTGGATGAGACCGTGTGAATGAAGAGGAGGTGGGCAACAGGAAGGGGTAGAGAGAGATCAGCTCCCGGACGTCAAGCTGGCCGCTTCTGCAATTACAGTGTCAAACTAAATGAAGCAAAAAGAGAGAAAGAGTACACATAGGCACACAAAACGTACTGGAGGGCTGTGCACGTGTGCACTCGCTACCAGGGAGCTGGTCATCTGGTCGTGTGTCGGAGCGACCATCCTAATTTGCAAGCCTGGTGAAGCACTAAGACACCATCAGCTGATTCCAAGAAAGAACAGTTGGGACCACAGTGAAGCTCACTCACAGTCCATGTTCACGCGGAATATAAAAACACCTAAGCTGATCTGCACAGGACTCTCTGGAAACCAAGGCAAATGATGTCCTTCTGAAACTAGCACCTTTCTAACACTACGTTATCAACAGATTGAATGGTCCATAAGGAAGGGACTTTACAAGAATATAGCTTACCATTTCCCCAGTAATGATCTTGCAACTGAAGACATGGAGGCATCAAGCAGCTGCTTCTGTGGTGACTTGATAGTGATTCACAGCATAACATCAAGTGCAACTAAAGCCAGTGTAGCGACCCAGCCTCATGAGGCCCAGGAAGCCGGGTTTCAGGATGTCCTCCAACTTGCTGGCCCTCTCCTGCCCCCTCCCCCTGCAGCCTACTCATCCTGTCTACAATGGGAACAGCTAGTGTTACTGAGTTGTGGGTCTCAATCCTGGCCCGAGGAAACAAGCTCCCTTTAGACATACAGATCAGAATCCTCTAAGGCAGGATCAGGATGGACACTTCCTTCAGGATGGACATCCTTCAGGGTCCACTACATCTCCAGATGCCTCTCTGCTCTCCTGGCTTCCTGCCTCTAGCCTCCTTCCCCTTCACTCTTCCTACCATAACCTCCTCCTGACCTTCAGTGGTCCTGTACTACACACAACATGTATTTCAGACCTCTTAGCTTGGCATTCAAGACCTTCCTAAACTGAACCCAAATTAGCTTATACTTTCAGTTTCAACCACCCCTCCCACCCCTTCTACCTCCCTATGTTGTCCACTGAAACAGCGTTGTGCTCTGAGCCTCTCCTTGTTCCTTTGCCTATGGGAGTGGCTCTTACTAGGAACATGTGGCCATGACTGGAACCCTCCAGTCATGGCATCTTGTGAGTGAGGCCAGAGCTGCGGTCATACCCCCTACAATGCTCAGACAGCCTGCAAACAAACACCTGCCCAGCCCAGAATATCAAGTGCTATATTGAGCATCTCTAGTGTAAAGTACGATTTTCAGTTTGGGAAACTTCTGTGTGCCATTTAAGATCCAAGACAAATCCTGATCTAGTCTCTGCTCTGGTTGTTCCCACCCCATCGCTTATACCGCACCCCCTTTTGCAAACGGGTGTAGACATGCCACAAAGCAGGGGCATTCCTTCCTTTTTTTACTCTTCTTTCCTCATCCTAACACTCAGGCCAAGATAGCTCAATGAAAAGGGAAACAGACAGGCTGGCTGACCTCAGAGGGAAGAGACAAAGCATAGGTCCTGGGGCTTGGGTCACACGGGGCCTTTCTCCAGTGCCAGTGGCCATTAGGCGGCAGCTGTGGCTTTTCACACTGAACTGAGAAGGAATCTCCCTGATCAATGAGGGAAAGAAAAATGAGTTCTTAGCAGCGCTTGCTAGGTGCTCAGGAAGGAAAGTAGAACTATTCTTGTCTTTGGAGCATCTTCAAACTTCAAATTTCCCAGGCACACTTGTGACAAAATTGAGCAGCAGTCAGTCAATTTAAAGTTAAGAAGCCGACTCACAAAGGAGAGGTACAGATTGACAGGATCTCTGTTTATTCTCTTACAGTGAACTTTTCCAGAAATGCATCCATGGTCACTGACCTAGTGTTTCAAATTAACCTATAAGAAAAAGATGTAGTGGGGAACAACTGTGACCTGAGTGGGGAGGACCATGGCTCTTCAGAAATAACACCAGACAGGGTGAGAAACACCTACGTGCAAAGGGGCAAAGAATCATTTCAGCACGAAAGCTATGGGCTGTTCCAGGAACAGATGAGCACAGCACAGACATCCTTAAGTAGAAGTTATAAAGGGCACCATTAATCAATAAATGACTCCTTTACACACAAATCTATACAACCTCTTTTATGGAAGAGCAAGAGATCAGGGCTGTGGTGGCTTTAATAAAACACCCAGACAACAGCACCACACAGCCCGCTGCAGAAAGGCATTCTCTCTTACAAAGATGGAAAGGATCTGTCTGGAGCCTGTGGATACACCTTATCTTTCATGGCTCGACACTGTGCAGAATCTATTCTAGTTAGACATTTTGAAAATTTTATTAGCAGTGCTTTAGCAGGATGCTGAAAGACTATCAGAGCAGGCTCAGCTCACTTCTGCAGGGACAGCAGAGCAAGCACACGAAAACTTTGGTCTCTACAAGTACAACAGTCTGGGAGAGAAGCAATGTGACCGCAGTGGTGTGCACAAAGCAGGCATGGGCCGGGGAGGGAGAGCCAGGCCATGAGGTATGGGATTCCTCTTAATACCAGAGGGGCCTCGGAAAAACCCACTCTCTCAGAGAGCTAACTGGAATGTCATTAGAAAAATCTTTAGAAAAACAATAGTTTTCTCAAATGTTCCCAGAAGCATCTGTTTTTTCTCTAAACTCAGAGCTTCCTACAAAATCTCTGAAGTAAAAGAAAAACAAATGATAGTATATTCCTAGGACTCTTCCACACAGTATCAGTTCACTGTTTAGAATTCCCTCCTCTGGACTTGATGGTCTTGATGCATTAACCTCTCTTAACAGAACTGTTACACATGTCTCTAGTGTGTCTCCACTCTCTTCAGGATGGAAAACAGTGAAAGGAAGGAGTGAGCACTATGGTATTCACTATTAAAAACAATTCTCGCCTCTTCCAACTGGAGCCCTGTCTACCCAGCGCCACACTTTCCATTGAGCGTCACAGTGGAAAGGGAGGTTTTCACCACAGAGGGACACTTGGAAGTCTTGCTACCAACACCTCAAATTACCTGAAGAGCTCTTTAGCTTCCAGGAACTGAAGTTGTGCAAACTGTATAAACCCCGCCTGCTGCAGGATCCTTCTGTACATTACCTGCAAGGGAAGACAAATCTCTCAGGTCTTCCAAACCATCACAGGAGAGTGAAACTAAAGCTTGAATTGTGACACAAACCACAAATTAATTATCACAAAGAAATGCAATTACAAGGTAAAGAAAAAAGAAGACATATTAAATCACACACATACACACACGCATGCACGCACACATGCACAATCAATCCTGCCATTACCACTTATTTAGTTCTTTCCTCCTCATGAGATTTTCCCCCATAAAACCTCATTTCTTCTCAAATGCATTCTTTTATCTTCTGTTCTCTTCACTAACTCCAAGGACTTCAATGATTGCTTCCATTTTTGATTGCTCAGATGGAAATGAAAAACTCCAGAGCTCCTGGTGGTCTAGAAACTGCTCAGCCTTCCATCACTGTTCTGGAATTGGCACCTCATAGCAGCATTTCTGAGAATCCCTCAGAGCACGAGGCCAACAACATTTAATAGTTAGACAGGGTTTCCCTGCCAAAGGTGAGGAAACACTGCATCTCCCGGTGGTGCCACATACCCCCTCCCTGACATAGAACTCCCTCAGCAAAGGTGTCAGTTGATCGTTCTTTAACCCAGTACGACCCCAATTCCCTTGATCATCGAACCCCTTAGTTCTGCTAACACCCAGAAACAGCAAAACACACTGGAAACTGGCAGTGTCTGTAGTTCCACCCTTCCCCTGTCTCACCATCTAGCCCGGTCAGTTTTCATGTCTCACCCACCCTTTCTCTGAAGTAGTAGTTGGCCCTGTCCTTCACTAGTTCTTACTGACCTCATCAACATGGCCCAGGCCCTCATCAACTCCCAGTTAGGACTCTAGAATGTCTTAATCCCTCCTCCTTCCAATCCATCATGCTGTTTATAAAACCTTAAGTTCCTTGAAGGCATGGTACCCACATAAGCTTAGTCTCCCCACACCCTTTTACTGCAAGCATATTTAAGATGTTTACTGATCTGAAGAACTACTTTGCCAAAATTTTCAGATAATTGATGACTGAGCTAAACCAGGTATTTCTGATTCTGGAATCCAATTCTTTCCATTCAAGTGGTTCATCTAGAGTCATAGCAGTCAAAACAGTGCTGCTGGGCATTGAATAAGTGGAAATACGAGGGGGAGACAGTTGGCACCTAAAAGTCATCAATCTAGCCTCTCAAATTAACTATCAAAGGTGCCTTCCTGACAGTGTCAAGGAGTTTCTAAAAACATAATGGCAGTCCCACCTTGCCCCCCTAGAAGTTACTTCGGTCGTGTCAGAAAGGGCAGGTATCCATCACTCCTCACACCTGCCTTTATGTTTCTACTATGGCGCCAGCCATTTCCAACTCAAAACTTTTTCTCAACCCCCTGATGATAAGCAAAATGAAGTAGGTCAAAGTTCTGTTGTGTGGGCCGTCAGTTACATTTCCAAAAGCAGAAATAATTAAGACTGTCTCTTTAGTAAAGACAATAAAAATGACCCATCTGTTGTGGAAGCAGAATTCTCAGTCACACTCAGACCTGTTGATGAGAAATCAGCCAAATGACAATTTGTTCTTCGTGGCTGCAGGATTCAAATGTCATCTCTTCCTACCCTCCCTAAAGGGGCAGGAGACAACTTTTGTGCACAATTCTAATCTCCAAAAGCATAGAAGTTAGTTTCTGTATTCTAGTCTGGGGATGATATATGGAGACCTCGAAGCAGCAAGCAAAGGATACCCTCACCCCAGACACAAGGTGGATGTTGACTCCAGAAAGCCTAGAGAACACCACTGAATCTGATCCCCTGACCCACAGCTGATCAGAGATTTTACCAAGCACAGTCCATACTGGGTTCCCTAAAAGTGTCACCTTTCCTGACTGTCCGTTATGATTGCCACCTCCTAGTGTTTTCTGCTCACTTGATGAGTAACCCAACCTGGAGCCAGGTAGGCTAGGAGGAAGAAGATGATAACATGCAGGAGTAAAAAAAGAGCAGAAGGCTATTAACTTCATAGAACTGGAGCTAACTCAACAACAGAATCTTCTGTTCTCTTTTGAATTTATTAGTCTGTCCTTCAGAAAACAGTTATCAAATTTTCAGGTGGAGAGAGTAAATTAGCAACAGACTTCTAAATGAGGGCACGTGGAGAGCCCAACACAAGCCAGGTATGAGAGGTCGGTAGGGTTCTGGATACAAGATGAAACTTAAGTCAAATCCTCCGTATTAGTATTGTATTACTGAATTGAGATTCCTTCTTATAATTTGGAGAATTGGAAATTTTGTGAAACAAAATCAGACAATTCTAATCTACAGATTTCTAAACCTGCTTTTAAGGCTGTGTTGTCTACTGATCTGTTAAGTATCGCCTTGAACTGCACACAATCTTCATCTCCAGCTTTCTCAGCACGATCACCTCACGGAGCTAGAAAGAAAACCCTGCAGAAGTGACTGTTCTCAGCCCAGTTAAGGGCCCTAAACTACCAGAAGCCGTTTTCTTTTTGCTTTTGCTGCCCCCTGCTGAATGCTAACAAGTAAGATTTAAAAAAAAAAAAACAGGGATAAAGAAGAAAAGTTTTTAAACTCATGTTGGAATGTAGAAAAGATACCCTTTTTTAACTCCCATAACCATTAATTCTACATCCTGTCTTCTATCACTTCCAGAACTCACGCTCTGTTAAACAAATCAAGCAAGACCAAAAATCATTGTTTCATTTTACAATCACACAATCAATGTGGAAATCTGAGAACTGGTATCAAGGGTATCATTATTAATTCATGAGTAACTTCAGTAATTAATTTAGATACTCATGTGACATCTCACAATGTGATGATCTGTTACTCTCCAATACATAAAGTAACCTGAACTAACCCAACAAGTGATTATGTAAGTAACAATATGTAGAGATGCTAATTTCATCAGATATAATTTGAAGTTATCCTATCAATATAATTTATTATACAGTAAAGTTTGTGCTTCATAGATGCCAAAAAATTTTCTCCTGAGGAAATTTACATGGATTCATGTAATATTAGATAGTCTCTGGTATGACTAGCAAAGCTTTTCCTTTAGATAATATGAATATAAATTTAAAATTCAACCATCTCAGAAAATACACATTGTAAATTAGGATTAATCTGATGCCACACTTTTGGTTTATAAAAACAATACACCCTGTAAAAATAAACTTTGTAAAAAAACAAAACAAAACAAAACAAAACAATACACCCTGACTTTTCTCTGAAGGTCCATCAATGAAGAAAGTTGATGAAAAATGCAACTTGGTATATTAAGTATGAGAATTAAGTTAGAGACTCAAATCTGACTTTGTCAGGAGCTGTAACCTCAGTCCAACTACTGTCTGACTTTGCAAACTATTTCCCTATCCTACAATGAGGATGCGTCAGAAAAATTGAACACAAAATATTAAAGTATGTGCAAGGCCTACTGCCCAGGGAGGGCCAGTGTTGTTGGTTAAATCCAAATGTTTTCTAACTGGTGGTTTAGAGGCCTGGCTTCTTGTGACTAGCTAATTACAAACCTGAAATTTTTCTTTTGGAATGTTCCTCCGGGCTCCTTTTGCTAAAACCAAAGCCTCTTCCACTCTATGGCTTGCTAGAAGATCCTGTATTTGTTTTTCCAGAGGAAATGGAACCAAGATGTAAACTCCTTTACTTGTGGCGACAATCACTCTTCCTGGGAAGAAATTCAATAGTGTTGGAAAAGGGAAAAAACATAATGCCTGCAAAAAACCATACTGCCTCCCCCAAATGGGGTCATTATCTGATCTGCTGATCAATTTCATCATAGTTTTCCCAACACAGAATTCCTAGAGAAATTATACATGATCATGCTTCCCTTTTCTTCTCCTCATATTGCCAACTATCAGTTAATGTTAGTATTATATAGCTTAATATTATATTTCCAAAGTATAAAATTTGCTTTTCTAACCTTTTTTAATTTGAAGTGCTAATAATTTAAGCTCCATTTCATAAATACATACTACATAGTCCAGTGAGGCAGCAGAGGTCACTTAAAAGTATCAACAAGAATTGATATATAAAACTCTTTTTTTCTCTCTATGTTGGTCAGTTTACAGAAAACTATAGTGTATGTGGAGCCACAATATACTATTTCACACTCACTTGCCTCCAGATACACATCTCGGTGTGGCCTTACTATTCCCCACAATTCTGTGAGTTAAACTGAGCATAGCCACACTGTTGTCCTCCCGGTCATTTTACTTGAGACTCATATAGGGCCCGCTGAAGAGTCAGAACTGCATTCCAAGATGAGCTTCTATGATGAAGCTTTTAAACGGAGTTCTGCTCCCTTCTGGAGACACTTTCTAAGCTACTAAAGGAAGTCATGGAAAGATCTTTTTTATTCTGTCAGAAGGCAAATTAAGGTCAGCCAAACCATCCCACTCCACCACAGCGGAGCTCCCACCCCAGCCACATGGCCTAGTCTAACTGCAGCCCTGGCCTTCCCTTGTCTGCATCGCCACCACATCTACCTTTTGGTCTTCCTGCTATGCACTCAAATCTGGATGTCTGTTGCTTAGCTCACAACCAAAGTAATTTTTCTCATACCTGGGCCTGCCCATAGCACTCAGTGGCCAAGGCACTGGGATACTGGTGTGAATAAACGTGCTCTTCCGACGCGTGGGCTATGGCCCCCAACCCGTGTCATGCTTAGTGTAGGGATGGTGAGAATTAGTTAGTTTATAACCCTAACACCAAAAACAGAAAGTAGTGTTTGGTGAGCTACAGCCCTTTTAAGGCAAATGCAAAAAAATAAATCTAGATTAGTTCCAGGTTTAAAGAAAAAAATCAACATAAGGTATTGTTAAGCTAACTAGGGAAATCTGAACACATAGTAGAGCCCATTATCCAAAGTGTGAGAAGCACATATAATTATGTAGAAAAATGCCCTTATCCTTAAAGCGTGTACTAAAGTATTACAGATAAAATGTGAGTCTTCTACTTCCTGTTGAACAATTCTACGAAATACTAACAAATGTTGAATCAAGGTGCATGGTATATTGTGGTTCACTCTGTTTCTTTCAACTTTCCAGTATGTTTGACATGTTCATAATGAAAATTAGTAGAAGTACAGTAAATTCCTCCACTGGTACAGCATTGTAGACAAAAGGAATTCCCCCCGCAAGTGTCCTGTCTGCTTGTCGCACATGGCCTCCCTCTGACACTTGGCAGCAGTCACAGTGAACTCTGTGCGGCCCTACGTCCAGACATTCATGCGCCTTTCTCTCTACCTGAAGGTTTCTTTTATAAGGTTTCTTTTATAAGGCTGACTCCTACTCATCCTTAAAGGTTGGCTCACCTCTTTCAAGAAGCCCTCTGTGATATTTCCTGAAACCCACCCTCTTCTACTCGGCCAATTGGTTTTATCCCCGATCAGACTTTTTTTTTTTTAAAGATTTATTTCTTTATGCTTACAGAACTGGGGTACAGGTCAGAGGTGTGGTGGGTGAGAGGATTCACCAGAGACAGTGGGAAGCAGAATAGTCAGGTCGACAAAGTACACTGCTGAGAGGAGCAGCGGGCAGGTCAGAAGAGGTCTGCTACGCCATGTGGGTCAGCTCCCTGGCCTGGGATCGAACTTGTGCTTTAGTGGCGTCTTAAGAGCTTCATAATGCGGTGCTTTAATCCGTTGCACCACCAGGGAGAGCCCCCCGATCAGACTCTTAAACTGCCATAGCTACTGGTTCAAATATCTATCTTCCTATTAATCTTGAAGTTCCTAAAGTCTGGAGACTGTATTCCATCATTTGTGTGTCTTCCAGGATAAACATAAGGCTTGCCTCCTAAAGGGCCCTTAATGACTTTTACTGAAAAAATACTGTCATTAAAAAGTTGACACCTATATTTGACTTAGATTTCTTATGTAGTCTAGTACCTTCAAAATCCTGTAGGATGTGGCCTTCCTTAAAGGGCAGGGTCTGCTTCTGCTGCTGATCTAGCATGCTGTGAACTGTGATGAATTCCTCATCGAGTGCTATGACGTAGGGAAAGCAAATGGCCGCCCCGATTACATTCTCTGACCAGTGCACAGGGGCTCGTTGAGATATCCCAGCGACTGTGGCAAACATGCCTAGAAAAGAAACATAGCGAGAGTTAGGGGCCTCCAGATAACTGCAGATGCCCTCCCCCTTAGAAAATGAGTGTGAAGGGTTAAATTGCTAAGACCCCAAAAGAAAAAAACTCATCTCAACTTTTCTGAGACTTGCTTTCACATGCACAGCAAACCTGGCCAGTTTTCAGCAGTCCTCAGCTGAGCTCCAAGACCAACTGGGAACTGAGAACCCAGAAGAAGGACACACACACAAAAATTTCAGAACTCTAGTCTCTTATTTCATTTATGAAGTGTCCTGTGACTAGTCAGTGAACGTCAGCCAAGTCCACATTTCTTTGCCCCAACCTGCTTTTCACCCAATACAATTTAATTCCTTTGTTCTTAATCCTGGTCCAAAAATCTATATAATTCCTTTAGTCTGTATATTTCCTTAATTAGGAAGATGGTATCTTTGGATAGGGTACTAGCCTTGAATAACTGTTGTTTTCCTAAATCCCACCTATGTCTCTCATGTTTGACTTACCAGTGATAAGTTGGTGGACCTGAATACAGTGTCACCATCATTTTAATTTAAAAAATAGAATAATATACTTCATGTGTAAAGAACTGTACATGATTTTATTGTTGTGATGAGAACTACTTTACCAAAATATATATTTACTTCCAATTAAAATAAGATTAGAAAAAGTTTACATATGTTCACAGGAAAGTACATGTCCTCACAGGAGCTACTATTTGCAAAGAACTGAAGCTTTGTATGCTTACTGTCCATATCCAGTCCTTCAGATCTTCCCTTACAAATTCATTCAGCAATAAGTATTGTTCAATGGATGTTGAATGAATTCACTTAAATATTTATCAAACATCTATGATGTGCCAGACATTCTACAAGATGTCTCATCAAGAACTGTCCCTGCTTAGAGTTAAAGTTTAATTTTGGAAACCCATACTCTATAAAACAGGGACAGAATCAATCTTGCAATTCAAGACAGACTATTAAGTGTTTGTCAATAATAACCTCCATAGTAAATGACAGTTTATCCATCTTGTACATCAAATAGTCATTTCCACATGAGCTGTATGTAGTCCAGATATTGTGGTTTATCCACATTAACACATTCACCAAGTAAAGTCAATCCACTTTAATTCGGTTTTCAATGTAATTGATGTAAATCAAACACCTTTAAAAACAACAGGCTGCCAGCAATGAATAGACGCTACTGTGGTAGATAACTGGTTTCTACTAAACACAATAGAGAAAGGGGAAGTAGGGAAAAAACAGAAAATGATACTGTGAATCCATTAAAACAAAGTCCCTAAAATATGTTCCATGAGCAAAATTCCTAAATTTATGAAATCATTGACCCTTCTAAATTTTGTGTGGTTGCGAAGACTGAAATGCAGAAAACATATCAAGTACCCACGTAGCTCTTTTCTTCTAAGTTGTTGGTGAACCTCAGCACCTCCAATAGAATCACGCCTGCTCTGCTTTCACCTGACGCTCAGAGGCCCTCCCTGCAGCATGATACTAACGGTACTTTCTCGTCCCTGCTTAGCATTTTAAATACTGCATGTTGGCATCTGAAATGGCACCAAACTGAAACTGTGCCACAACCTCAGAACATTGTGTGCTATGTGTGTGCGAGCGTGTGCAACTTCCCTAAAGGAGTCACAGTTGCCTAGCCATTCTGAACCAGATTTTCATGTTAAGTGAAAATCATTTAAGAGCTCTAAAAATCATTATAAAAAAACTAACAACTCAATAGAAAAATAGACAAAGGCTGTGAATCAGCAATTCATAGAAGATAAAGTGCTAACAACTGACAAATTTGTGAAGGGATTCCATCTTCACGAGTAGCAAAAGAACAGAAATTTAAAGGAAAGAAAAATAACCAAGTTTTAACTGTCACATTAGTCAGTTTGTAAACTTACAGTCCTGAGTATTAGTACAGTGTAAGGAAAACTTTTGGGGCAATAATTTGTTGTAGCCATCAAAACTACACATACTACTTTACTCAGTGAGTCTACTTTCAAACTGTCCAATTGCTAAATACCGGATAACACACTTTAATAGCATTGTGTTAAATATAATACCCCCAAAGAGTACATGGGAAAAAAAAAAAACAACTAATGTATTAAATGGAGTATGTACGGAAAGAAAAATTATAAATTAGCATTAGCCTCAACTTGAACTTAATAAACATTTACTAGGTACTTATTATATGTCGGCCACCGACTTTGTATGGAGAGATCTATAGACACATGAAGGGGCTAAGGAAAATACATAGGCAGTCACTGTACAAGAAATAAAAAAGCAGAGGCTCAGAATGGCTTACAGGGCTCTGCAAACACTGTGGGTAGGTGAAGTCCTGACAGCTGAGTGACAAGGGACAGTGGCCCACAAGGGGCAGGAGACACCAAGGCTGGTGGGGCATCTGGCAATATGAAGAGGAGAGCGTCTTGGGAGGCAGAGACGTGAGAGTTGTCCTCAGAGCACAGACTGCATGCGAACACCACATATGAGGCAAAGGATGGTTGGAAAGTTAGTCAGAAGCATGGGACTTGAACTTGCAGGCTGAGGAGAGCAGCCTGAATCTGTCACAGGATCACGGATGCTTTAGCAGGGTCGGTGTGGGGGCTGTGGTGAAGGAGGGACTCAGGCACTGTGTGTGTGTGTGGTGTGTGGGCGTATGTGATGGGGGACCGCCAGCTACTTGCCATCAGGAAGAAGGCTTCAGTCAGGCCAGGGCTTGGGAGCCAACAGAGGTGGGTAACAGGTGCATCAAAGAACCTGGCACATGACTCAGTGTAGCCAGAGAAAGGGTGAGTCAGAGGCCTCACCCTGGGCTGTTAGCCTCAGGGTTAGGGGCAGACAGGGCTCCTTCTGAAACCAAACAGGGTTCGGGATACCAGTTGCTGAGGCGGCAGTGTGCCCAGAGCAACAGGGGGTGTCACTGGCTCTGGGACAGGGACGCCTGTAGTTCAAATGCGTTCTCGGAGGATGAAGGTTTCTTCCTGAGGGGAACAGATTGTTTCTTGGAGCTCCTTGAAAACCAAGGCCAAATACAAGATGACATAAGAAGAAATGTTTCTGCAGAACACAACCACAGGCTGGTGAAGATCTTTTATTCTCATTTCTTTCCAGAGCAGATAAGAAGCCAATGAGCTCAATGGAAATGTGGAAAAATACCCCAGATGACTCAGCACTAAGAGATAAGGCTGAACAATACTGAGGTGGGACAACATACACAGGGGAGGGAGCTTGGGCAGAGAGGACACAATTGAAGTCTGAATTAACCCACCAACTGCAGCACCTATGTTTCCCAACTGTATTAAAGATGCTAAAGAGACAAGAGTACAAATCTATGGGAAATTAAGACTGAGCTTTAGAGGAGGAAATTAGGTTGGTACTATCTTGAATTTTTCATGAGTTTGGAACCAGCAAGCTAAAGAGAGTCTAAAAGGGAAGAAAAACAAGTCAGGAGCATCATGTACCATGTGGCCGTCCTCACCCAGGGATTTGGAAAAATTAACACCCATGAAGGGACAGGCATGGAGCAATCCTGAAGATTCCACTGAATTTCTGGTGAGACAGTCACATTTTACATGTCATAACTCTTGTGAGAATGAAGATAACAAACATTGTCAAGCCTTATCCTGGAATGAAATAAACTGGGGTCACCACGTTTGTCTCGCACTGTCAGACCCAAGAACTGTGAATGCAGGGGCTCTGACATGAATGTTCTTGAAATAAAAGTATGGAGCTCAGAGATCAAGAACAGAGATCAAGATGCTATACAGAATGAAAAGCAGATTCTACTAGGATAAAGGAGCAGAGTAGTATCTGGCAACTGGGGTGTCCAGGTGAAGCTATACAGGGTACTGCAGATCCACTCAGGAGCAGACTGTTACCAACACCCGCCCACTTTATGATCTTGCTAAGTAGGGAGCAAGCTCTGTTTCTACTCTAGTAAAATCTTACCTAAGAAACCCATAGGTTCTTGGAAACTGCAACTTTAAGTGAAACAATGTACAACAAAAACAACTTGACCATAGGCTCACTGACATAAACAAGAGTTAAAGGTCCTGCAGCACGAAAAACATGACCAACTTCTAAAAGACTCAAAACACTTGTCATGCTACCAAAAAAAAAAAAATCACTTGTATTCATTTTTTCATTCTTTCATTCATTCTGCAACTGGCGTATTCTAGTGCAGGAGCTCTGGTGGTCATAGGGTACCCCAGAAGCTCAAAGCACAAGATACAACCCAATGGTGACTATTCTTCCACTGTAGGGCAAATTCACCCAAAACCACATCTGCTCCGAGAGAGTAAGTGCAGTCAACGTGCAAATGCAACAAATATGTAAATGGTACACCATCAGCCACTATTAATTTTCATTGTGTATTCTCTAAAAAGACCAGCAGCCCTTTTGTTTGGGTTGGGAAGGAGAGGGTGCCAGGGGAGGTGAGGAGTAGCTAATTATTTGCTTTCTTCAAGAAGCATTATCAAGGGGTAGAGATCAAAGTTACCATGCTCAGTTGTAGTGCAAATTTTTCAACAAAGCATTTCTTAAAATAGTAAAATTTCAACTAGGTAGATAGAAAGTTAAGCATAATGAAAACACAGAGCTTTCAATTTTCATAGGGCACCTGTATTCATTATAGCAATATGTTTGGACTTAATTTCTGAAGTTATATAATGAAAGTGGTGTAATATTATTATGTTGTGATACATCATCTTCCAATTTGCTTACAACTGTACAGCTTAAAGGCAGAACAATTAGGAAGGTTGATTCACTTAGCACAATGTCCATAAAGTTGAGACCTATTAAGCTTGGATAAAATGCATCCAAATATGACTGCCTGTCATTTTCCTTCAATCCTAACACTGAAACCAGAGCTAAGACAGGAAAGTCAAGAGGTGAACCTGGAACACCTTCTCGTATCAGAAGGCAAGACAGCTACCAAAGTTCAAGAGTCACATGAAAAGGGCTCAGCTGTTACCCTGAATAAACTTCTACCCAGAACAGATGCCCAAGACATACTATATTTTTTTAAACCCATGATTGCTAATGGTACTTCTGGAAGGTAGAAGGAATCAACTTATTGAAACTCGTCTTATCCTGCCTTTCTTATACAACATACCTGGGGACAACCAAATACTTAATGAGAAGTTTCTCTTCCCAAAGCAGCCTAGGTATCACTGAAGGAGGAATGTGCAGAAAGAGAATGCTGCTCGCCACTGCTAATGATTTCATGGACCCAGGCAATACTCAGCAATACTATTTTACATCACAAAAAGATTCCCACCCCCACCCCCCAAATTGTGTCATCCTGATACAGTACACCACCATTTATGAAATAGGCTGCCTCTCTCCAAAACAAGGAATTAAAAAAAAAGAAACACTAGAATCTGACAAAACCTCTGTTGACCTAATTACCAAGTTGCAGATAACACACAAAGGTCAGCTTGATATATTAAACAGTATAGTGGCAATGGAATCATCAAAATCCAGACTATGGGAGCTATCAGTGAAATGATCTTGTTTATTAAAAAAAGGAAAAGAATGAAAAATAAAAAGAGAAGGAGAAAGATCCTAAAGAGAAATTTAACAGATTATCAGTCTATGGCAATATATAGCCTTATGTGGAATCTTACTCAAAATGAAAAACAAACATATACATATATATTTATGTATGTCTCTACATGTGTATGATAAAAGGAGAGATGTGATATGCCTTGGTATTTGACAATATTGAGGAATTACTGCTTACTTTTTTTTTTAGGACTATAATAGTATATCAGTTTTCTTTTTTAAAGAAACTTAGACCCACATACTGAAATGTTCTCAGTGAAATGCTGCATTTATAGCCTCTGATCTCAAGAAAACGTGCTTGAACCATCACTTTGAAATGAGAAAGCCACACCCAGACTGTCAAAGGTTAAAGCACTCCTGGCTCTCACAAGACTCACATGCTAATTCTAACCTCAGTCATCCACAGTTCATAGAAAATAGCACCAGATATTCCTGCAGTTAGCAGCTTTGATTCTTCATTTTGATAAGGCAGTGCAGGTTATTTCATAAGGCCATACAAGAAAGGTCAAAGTCCTTCAAGGAACTAGCTGCTAAAAACTTTTCATTGGGATGAAACTGAAGTCAATACAAGAAAAAATTATGGACACAATACTGAAGTCTTCATACTGGCAAATATCTATTACGTGAGCTATTTCAACTCCTTTCTAGAAAGAAGAGTAATAGTAATCAACTAACAAGCCCACCCATTGGGGAAACTCTGAAGAGAGATTTATAGATTTGCTATTTCTAGTTATTTACTTTAAGGAACTTTCAGGGGCCATCTTCAGGTTCCACTTTCACACAACATACAACTAGCTTTGACACTGGCCTATTTTTGTTCCATTAACTCCACATTCACAAGACAGTATTAGTATTGGGAAATTTTAGTAAACACTGGCTATGCCAGTCTGTTCACATGTTCCCACATATTGTCAGTGTTGACACTCTTCATGACTAATCATTTTCATGACTAAACTTTCAGATTTCAGTATAAATTCAAGGAGAAGAGGCAAAGAGAAACGGCAGTGGGAAGCAGAGACACTAGCATCCTGCTCACCCAGCCCTCCGGGGCCCGCCAGCAGAAACTCCTGTCTCCCTATTCTCTTGACGATTGGGTGCTTCTCCTCGCTGCAGTAAGGAAACAGATCCTGGGCGACACCCGTGTTGTAGTTCAGTATGATGTACTGAGTGGTCAGGGCCAGGCACAAGAAGTGGCCATCCACAGCCACGGCCAGGGGCTGCTCCGGTGTCGACACCTCCCTGACGATCTGAACCCGGTCCTCGTACACCAAGAACACCTGGATGGTTCTGCGTTTGACAGAGATGATGCAGACTTCCACACAAAATGGGTCGTCGCTCACAGGGTTCTCGTTCAAGGCAAAAGCCACGGCCCCCTTGATGCGGGCCCCTGAGGGCACGGGCTCCAGGCTCATCATGTTGACCAGTGTGATGCAGTTGTCACACAGCACCAGCAGCCGTGTGAGGGCTGATGCCGCCCGCAGTTCATTCACTGGCTTCTTGAAACCCAGGTGTCTATGCAGCTGCTTAGTGGCAGTAAAGGAGGCTGTGCCAGAGGGCAGAGTCTTCTCCTCCAGCAGGAAGTGGTAAATAAAGCAGTCGTTAGTGCCCACGTAGAGGTGCTTGCCACAGCACTCCACGCATTCTATGTTAACACGCTCCTTGTCGCCCATCAGCAGCTCCCGCTCCACAGCAGAGACCAGTGTAAAAGCCTTGGTGCTCATCATGTCTGCTGGCTGATCTGAAAGAGGGAAGAAAAAAGTCAATGTAAGAGTAACTAGGGATCAGCAGAACAACTCCAGTCACAATAAACCCGCTCCTCAGCTATATGGCGAAAGAAAACATTGAACACTGTTTTAAACATTTTAAAGGAAAGGAAAGATTTCCCATTTGGTCTCCTCCCACTGGACAAGGGGGAGACCCAGAAGGGAAGCCCGTATACATGCTTCTCATTTAGGGCAAGTCTCTCATTCTCTACCTAGCTGAGATTTACTGTGTTTCCTTCCACTGTGCCAGAGGAGACAAGCACAGGTATTCACCTAAACAACATCATGACAAAAATATTTTGGAGGCTGTAATCAGACTTTTGGTGGTAAACTTCATGTAATGTATACAGCTGGTGATTTGTGCATATGTACATCTATGTTATAAACCAATGTCGCTTCAGTAAAAAGTATTTCAGAAAAAGGCAAAAATGATCTTTATGGGTCTTCGCCTAAATTTCTCTGGTCATTTGATTTTGCGTTTAAGTGAACATGGGGGCACAGCTACATCATATTGTTAAATTCTGCCCCTGGAAACTTGCCAGAAACATGGAAGGAGAAACCACACCTTGAAACCCTTGGTGTACTCCCCAATGAAGCAGGTATGCTGACCCCAACAAGGTACTGGCTTCTAGAGTTAAGTAATGTTGGTATGGAATAGTGATAATGTGTCTCAAAGCTCCAAGTCTTTTGGGGGAAGAGGTGGAAAATTCAGAATTGGGACGTCAGCAATGTGCCACGTAACGGATGACAGTCCCTGGGAGAGAGACTGCTCCACACTGTAGCCCTTCACTTTCTTCTTCTTGTCAAAAGGACTTTGTGGTTTCATATACCACAAAGTCAAAGGTAGTGGAAATGGGCAGGACAGCCATCCTTGGTCTCTCAGCTGGTAGGCAGACTCACCTGGTAATCCCTCAGGAAAGTAGACTGTAGCTCTAACGAGAATTGCAGAAGACTGATGTAGGTTGGAGTGAGACTGGATGGACAGTCTAGCATGTCAAGCAATCCAAAAATAGGGTTGTCTCATGAAAGAATTAATTTCTTACTCCTTCGAGACATTCTAGCAAAGGCTGCAAGCCCTCTTGGGAATATTCAAAGTCACACATCAGAAAAGGAGAGAAATCAAGTCATGTCTCAGGTGCCTTTAAACTCAAAGATTTTTAGAACTCTACAATTTATAGTACCTTGACAACTGGGACAGTGACTGGTACACATATTTCCTTCCTCTGATAACGTGACTGTTACACACAAGTTCCCATCTTCAATAAAATCCCAGGAAGGAGGGTATCCAGGTCTGGGGACACCATCACTATCTATAAGATCTTGGCAAACTCAATTTCTCCATGCCTCAATTTCCTTATCTGTATAATGGGTATAATTAAGGTCATTTAGTTCACATATTTCTTTGAGGATTAAGTAAATTATGTAAAATGCTTACCAACTTGCACAGCGCTCAGTAAAACCTAATCTTGATATTATGATTAATGCATCCCTCTCAGATATTGGCCTGCTTTGTATTTTATTTCCCAAGATGCATACCAACAAATGAAATAACATTTTCTTCTGCCCTTAGCTATGGTTAACCTGTCACCTCCTCAGAAGGACAGACTGACATGGAAGCCAACACACTCACACAAATCCCTCCCCCTTGCATTTCCATACCCAGTCACACAGGCTCAGCTCCACAGGGAATAAGGAAAAGAGGTGGGACAGTGAGGCTGTGAGGCTGACACAGCATCACAGACGAGCAATTGTGCCTAACTATTTGGGGCTCAGAAAGGCCCGCAACTCTGGGGGTCAGGGAAACACTGTGGTTAGGTAAGAACTTGTGTTCACTTTTAATCTCTGACATAAACAATTCTTAGACACAACCATCTATTTGTCCTGGCCAAATAGTATTACCAAGTCCAACCTAGATGATATTCTTTTCCATTTAAATGCTAATGAGTAAGATCCAGATATTGAAATGTAGACTTTGAAACCTCGAAGTCTGTGAAAGCAAAGTAATAATGAAATGCTACTTTCATTGAGTGATCAGTCAGAACTGTCTTTTAAAATGGTAGGATAGAATGATTCAGCTGTTTAATGTGAATTATATCTCTCCTTTTACAGAAGCAACAGAGAAATGAGCTGCAGGCACTCATAATCAATCTCTTCTTATTTAACTTTTTAAATGTATGTTGTCCGTAATTCTAGCCTCTGTCTTCATTCAGTGTATTGAATAAACTAAGCACATCTGTAGTAAAGAATATATGGAAAGAACCAAACACTTCACATGTAGGCTCAGTATTGGAATGGGTAGAGAAGGAAGGGAGGGGTCTATGACAAGCATTTGGTTTCTTAAAATGTTCTATAGTATTTTAAAGGTGCAGTATTGTTTCATTACCTGGTACTTACAGTTAGTCTTGCTAAAGAAAAATTTCCTACTAGGACTTTAAATAAAGTACCTGCTTTAGTAATTAAATGGTAATTTATAAAAAGCAGGAGAGTGATGTCAGCATTATGATGGTATAAAGATGTATTCATTTATCCATATAAGAACTGCAGTATAAAGCCAGAGGTGCATAGGTGGTGAGAGGTTTCACCAGAAACAGAGTGGGGAGCAGAACAGGCAGAGTGACTGAAACACACTGCCGAGGGGAGCAGTGGGTGAGTCAGGAGTTGTCTGCCTCGCTATGTGGGTCACCTCCCTGGTACGGAATCGAATTCATGCTGCATTGGCTACAGATAGCTTCTTAGGGCTGTGCTTTAACCCACTGTACCACCAGGAAGAGCCCTCATTCCTCTTTTTAAACAGTAAATTAGACATCATCCAAGAAGAAAATCACCTCCGTGTGTGTTGTGGGATCTACCACTATATGCCAAGGGATTAGGAGGAATCTTGCCGCCCTGTACATATGGTAATAGTCAAACAGAACTCAGCATGGGCTGTAGAACCAGTGGAGCCAGCAAATCTTTCCAAACTACTCTCACCACAGTGGAAAAAAAAAACTTGGAGAATTCTGATCTGGACAGATATGCACATAAGAGAGAGAATTTGCAGGAGCCCAGTCTTCCTGGGGGGAGATTCCAGCATGCCATTGAAGCAAAAAGAAAAAAAAAATATGAGTTTGATCAACAGCAGAGGAAGGGTTAAGAGAAACTTTTCCACCGCCATATGACTCCAAGGCAACACTGCATGGGACTGGCTGACTTATCCTGAGGTGATAACCTCTTTCAGGGAGGAAAATAACAGCAGAGAGTGAGTGCTGGACAATCAAGTTATGGGAGATGTGCCCGAAGATACATATTTCTCTTCAGCAGGACCTGAGGTATTGAGGGAAGAACCCCATGATTTGGGGAACAAAGGACATTCAGAAAGAGGCAATTAAAATATCAAAAGGTAGTAAAAGGACTGTGTACAGAAGTAAGCCTACTCATAAACCTCTGAGTTGCACACCCAGAGCTCCCCCTACTGAATGAACAACCACCTCCAAAGCACACATGCTAAACCCATATCTGCCCACACTGTGCAGCTCACTTCTGTGATGCATTTCGTTGATGGCTGCTGGAGAGTGAGTCCAGTAGACTAGAAGCACCCTCAGAAAGCTGCTGGCCTAGTCACCACAAACTTGAATTACAGCATCACCATTTGGAAAACAAAAGAGAAGTTTCCAGTAGCCAGCCTAGTGAGTTGAAGTAACCACAGAAGACATAAAAGTGAAAGATTTTGCTATAAGAGGGCCCAAGGGAGTGGAGCAGAATATCCCATCTGAAGGCAACTAATGAAGATTTAAGTTGTCCACTACTTCGAACATGACAGCAATACAAACTATAAGAAATATGAAAGGTTAAGAAAACATGCCATTTAAAGAAAAAAATAATAATTCTCCAATAATTGAGCTCAAAGGCATGAAACTAGTGATCTAATCGGTAAGGAATTTTTTGAAGAAACTCAACAAGCTGCAAGAAAAATCAGAAAGACAATTCAACAAAATCTTGAAAAATGTATATGGCCAACAGGAGATTTTTTACCTTTTATTAAAAGGTAGAAATCATGAGAAAGAATCAAGCTCAGTGAATGAAATGAGAAACAAAGTAGGGAGAAGAGTGAATGGGAGATAGAATAAGTGAGCCAGAGGATAGGAATTCTGAAATAACCAATCAAAGGAGAACAAAGAAAAAAGAATAAAAAAGAACAAGGACATCTGGCACAAGCTAAAGGGATTCCATAACATCAGCGTATTATAACAATTGGGATTCTAGAAAGAGAAGAGGAAGGAAGGGATGAGAAAATTTGTTTAAGAGAAACAACAGTTGAAAATTTCCCAAAACTGGAGAAATTGGAGATTCAAGTTCATGAAGCTAAAAGCAAAAAGACCTTTTTAAAGATACATTATAATAAAGTGCAAAAGATGCATTATAATAAATTGAAAAGGATAAAGAAGAAAATTCTGAAAGCAATTAAGGCATAAAAATTATATACAAGGAACCTCCCATTAAGCTGTTAGGAATTACTTAGTAGAAACCCTACAGACCAGAAGATTGTGGAATAACATATTCAAAGTGTTGGGGGAAAAGTTGCCTATCAAGAATATTCTATTTGACAACTATATACTTCAGGTATTAAAGAGAAATACCTTCCTGGACAAACAAGTTGATGAAGTTCATCACCACTAGGCTTGTCTTGTAAGAAATGTTGAAAGTAGTTCTTTAAGCTAAGTGAAAAAACAATAATCAGCAACATGAAAATATATGGAAGTATATAGTATATACTGGAAAAGCTAAATTTATAGTCAAACTTAGAAAACTTCATATGATATATAATGGTGTGTCAGTCACTTAATTATACTTCAAAGACCAAAAGACTATTAAAAATAGTGGTACCAACTGTAATGTGTTAATGAATAATATAAAAAGATGCATATAAGTAATCAAAAACATGAAAGGAGAAGAGTAAAAGGGTAAGGTTTTTACAGACAATTTCAGTAAG